GGTGATGACGGTCCATGCATGTGTGGGGTCAGAGCAGGCTACAGAAGATCCCCCTTCCTCCAGGCAGAGAGGACATTTGCTTCTGTTTCTGAAAAGCCCAAAACTTTTCCTTTGACTCAAAAGACACTGTTTTGGAAAATCAGAGCTGATTGCATCATAATTCCATCCCCTTCTCCCAGTTTTTGAGTGATAAGGCATGCACGATGCTGCTTGACACTGTGATATTTATAAAACAAAGCAGAGGTCAAATTTGCTGAACAGTTTCCAAATTCCAGTGAGATTTATCACAAAGAGCCCCATGCACAGACCAAAGTGGCGTGACTGACAAGGGTGGGATTGTGGAGCCGCTCAAAAGCCCAGTTTCCAGCCAGCACCGATGGTCCACATCATGCTCTGGGGGGCAAAACCTGCTGGGAAGCTTCAGCTATGCGGAGAATTCAGGCAGCTTTCACAACGGAGTTTCTGGACAAGAGACCCCATTGTGAAGAGCTGTGCTGTCCTCCATCAGCGCAGCCCTGCGTGAGGGGCAGCCTGGAGCTCAGCCCCATGCAGCAGACCCCGGGCTGCCTTGCTCCTCCCCAGTGCCCTGGCCTCCCTAAAATAGAGGTGCTGCTGGGCCCCGCTTGCCAGTTTTTCATCCCAAAAAGTGCGGGAAGAAAGGTTTTTCCCACAGCGAGTGCTGACATTTCCAACAGAAAGTTGTCCAAAGGAAATTTGGCAGAAATACCCACCAGAAAGCTACAACTGAGAAAGTGGCTCTGGTCTCTCACTCTCCCCAGACACCAGCTTTCAGGGCTGCTGCTGACACCCAGTCTGTGCTCTCATCTGAGGGCTGGTGCTGCCGAGACCTGTTTGCACCCTGGTGCTCTCACCTGCCAGCACATTTCAACCTCCTGCCCCGAGCCAGAGGGGACAGATTTGACACGGCTAAGCCTCAGTTATTTCTACAGAAGCAGGCCATGGCTGGCTCCGGTACTCAGTGCAGAAACTGGATCTGGAGCAGAGGTCAAGGTGACACCTCCAGAATGGGCTTCACCTCAGCATCTGTGCTCCAGTACCACAGGCCAGAGCACAGCCTCACAAAGCACTCTGCAGAGGAACGGGGATTACATCTGTGCTTGAACTCATCCCGAAGGTGCTCACAGAAGACGCAAGGGAAACTTCCACAGAGCGCACTGCCGAGGCACGGCGACAAGGCTGGGCGAGACAAGGGACAAGTGCTGGGGCTGTCAGCAGGGAGGCACGTGGCCTGCACCCTGCCTGGAGGCTGCCGGGCCTGCAGTGCCCCACACCAAGCCAGCAGTGTGGGGAGCAGAGCGGGGCCTGTCGTCTCACTCCATGCTGGTGTTGGTGGCTGAATGGAAAGGCATCGCTTCATCTTCTGGGCTTCTAAGCACTGTTGGAAACAGAAGGAAAAAAAAAACAATTTAGACTGTGTACGCAAACAGATTAGATGACTTTTTAAGAAGAAGTGACCATGCCCTGAGAAATGACTAACACCACCAGATGTAAATTCATCCACCCGCCCTTCCTTGTATCTCTTCTTATCAGGACAGGATCACCTTTCCCAAACATAAAGCTAACATACAGACACGCCACTTCTGCAGCTATCTACTGTGTATCCAAATATGTAAGATTAGAAATAACTATTGTCCCAAAAGGACATAAATATTAGCTTAACAGCTGAAAAGTCTTCCATATTTAGGTTGTTAACTGAGAATTTTGCAAGTTTTAGGGAAAAGATAAGTAAACTAAAAAATTCCATGGTACTTGTTTTGCTTTCTGAAATCTTGGACCGATGTTAGACAGAAAGAAGGTTCAAGGGCTAAGACACTTGACTAAATTGCCATTGGTGTTTTCTTCACAACTCTCCTGTGCAGTGTTGGGAATATCACTTACCCACTGGCTGTATCCATTCCCAATGTATGAAATGGGGATAACAGCACTTCTTTACCTCCACTGTGGATCAAAAGGATAAAGATGTTAATCATTTCCAAGATGCTCAGACCGTACGGTTCATGCAGAAATACCTTAACAGTCTTTGGGAAATATGCTAACAAGATCTATTGTTTGTTCAAACACAAAAGAAATGGAGAATGCAAAACAGGAAAGGCTTGCAGCTCTTCATGGATGCATAGATGCCTCACTGTTACTTCTCAGCAAATCTCTCCAGCAAATCTCTCCAGTGTGATTTTTAGGATCTTTTCTTCTTTTGGGAATAAGTGAAGAGAACAGCAACCATACAGTCGATTCTTCTTTCTCACCACACAAGCTAGACAGGAGGCTCCTGATGGAGAAATCTCCATGTGCCATGGGAAGCACTTTTGCTCCTGTGTCTGGCACAGACTGTAACAGCCTCTACATCTTTCCTGCACCTGGACTGTAGGCAATCGTGAGTTCAAAACTGGGGATGCCACTGGCCTTTGCTATCTGACAGCACTCCCATGAGCCCTGACGTTATCTACAGAATCCTGTATTGTCTTGGCATTTGAAAAGTGCTTTCCTTTTAGGCACCACTTCACTGACGCACATTCATTTCACTCAGCTTACTAGTAGCCTGGAGAGTTTTGCTGAAGGATGAAACCTTTGTATTGGATTGGCTCCTGCACATCAGATACAGGTATAGGCTGTGTGTTCACACTCTGCCAAGGTTTTTTGGTACAGTAGCAATCTGAACATAAAGAAAAACATACAGAAAAAGCCAAAAGAATGCTAATTGAATACAAAACACATCTGAAGAAGCATTTCATTTTAAGCCACAGTCTCAAGTTTTCCAGATAGCCCAAGATATATAAGGACAGTTAGCATGCTGTGTGACACTTCAGCTGGATGCTCTATATCATCCTAGTGTTCACACTGCTATTCTTAACTCTGAACAGCACTGCCTCCATCTACTGCTGATCTCTGCTTTTCACAGCACAGATTCTCCCACAGTTTAGCAGGTTTCTTCACTATTCTCCTTTCTGCCCATTGGGTATGAGGATGGGAACTGAAGGATGGTGAAAGTCTGAATAAAACATGCTCTTACCATGCCTGGCTCACACTGATGTAATTACTTACCCGTAGATGACAGCTAACTTAGACTACAATCAGTTAAATGCAAAAACAGGCTTGCATTCCTCCTTTATGCACTCAGAAAAGGAAATCCACGTGTTTATACTCAAAATCCACATCTAAATATACCATTGGTCAAACCTTACCATTGAATAGTGCCTGAAAGGCCAAATACCTATTTGCAGAAAATCTCCCCCTTTCCCAACCCATTTCAAGTTCCTGACACATGCTGCCCCTCACACCACTGCCATGACACAAACCACTATGGTGTGCTCGTGCTTCCACAGCACACATCTATTTCCAAAAGCTTTTAACTTATCTTTAAAGTTCACTTCACGCTGCAGTGCGATTTCTGGACGAAATAACAAAAAATCATGAGAACTTTTTGGTTGCAACAGAGACATCAGCAGCTAGTTTGTGCTGTCTGAAGAACTAAGAAGTAGCTTTTAACCATCAAAATAAGATTCCTCCACCTACTTCCAACACTTTGCATTTTTTTACCCAGTGGCTCTTTCTCACTGAGCTGTCTTCCTGCACACTTCACACCATACTTCTGTGCACCTAAGCAGAGCCTGGTTCTGCAAACACTCCCCAGAGATGCTGTGGTGTAACACGGCAAGTGGCCCCAGTAACGTTACCAGTGGTAAGCAGGCACTTCTGAACCTTGGTAAGACATTTTCCATTCAAGTCTGCTGATTGAAACTTCTGTGTAGCACTCAGTTCTACCTTTGGTCTTGGCTCATGCAAACAGGTAGATTGACAGGGTTTTGTATGTCTGCTCAAATCTTTGCACTAAAAGCCGATTCCTTAGAAATAAAAGAGAAAGAATGCTGTGGTATTGTACTACAGTCTCCTCGCTCTTGAAAATGCTGCTGCTGTTGTTTTAGGCAATGGTCTAATGTCACAGATGTTCCCTTTCTTAAAATGGAGGAAAAGACCAGAGCACCATTACCCTAAACTGTGAATTACATAGCTTTATTTTTTTAATAAGATGGAGAGTTCTATTCTTTGGCAGGCCACGCTTTTAAGATTGATAAAGAGCATCCAAGTTGGCATGCAGTGTGGTTTCCTTTGTTAGTAAAAAAATGTACCATTATATTAAATATTTTTATTTATTGCTTTAAATATGGAAAGAAGGAGAGTTCAAAGGCTAATATCCACAGTTTTGGTCTCCAATGTTTAAAATCTGTAATTTTTTTGTTTTGATGATGCTACGCACCATTGCATTTTACAACATTCAAACAATTCATCAGAAAGGTACAGTGGTAAAGACTCATTTACAAGGAAATACCTCAAATATATTTGCAATTTCACGTATGTTGAGTTCTGCTGAGGTACTTCTCTACATATAAATAGAGAACATTTTATATAACTCTGATTTTGCCATACACCATCAGAACAATATATGTGGAAGAGAAGTAAGCTAAACAGAAAAAAAATGCACAATTTGTCACCGTAATTGAAACTTAAAACTAAAATTTATTTTTTTCAAATGCTGCTTTTTAACAATGTTTGATTCTCTCTTCAGTGTGAGTGAGCTGATACTCACTCGCATTATAGCACTGCTTAGGACTTTTGGGCTTTTTCAACCTGGCTACCAAATACTATGTCAACTACAGTGCTGTATGGAAACCAAGCTGTTTTCTTCCTACTTAAGACTTTCTTACTTAGCAACCACAAAGCAGATGATACAAGGTATTTTGGGGAACTTACTGCATATACGTCAGGTGAGCAAAATAATTTTGCTTTCAATCTCACAACTCTGGACAGTCTTGGACACAGAAAATAACCCAGGAACAGCCAGCCCCAACCTCATTGCTAAAGTCCAACCTTTAGATAATAAACTAGATTGCATAAAGTCCTGTTCCGTCAGGTGCCATTCCACATGTCCCCACAGCCAGTACAGCCAGGCAAGGAAGCTAGTGTAAGCAAGCAGACTATGGAGCTAAGAAGAAATGCACAAGTTTTATTTTTAACCATCGCTGGACTGAAAAATAGAGTCATATGGCTTATTCAGAATTCAGGAGATGGTAGTGAATAAGTTAAGGAATATTTCATCCCAAAATATGCTTGCTTTCACTTATAGCTAAGCTGAAGTACACATATATTTTCTTATTTTCATAAATGTTAAGCAACCACCTTTTTCTCCCAACGAAGATTTACAAGTACATGCACGGCACTTCCTACAAAGCTGTTGTGGGCTAAAGGATTAAAAACAATGTTTTTCTTTGAATAAGAAACATTAATCAGATCAAAATATAATCTTTTAAATCAACTTCTTCCTGAGCAACTTAAAATTTGGAATGTGTTGGAAAGTTTCAATAAATAAGTCAAAGATAAACCAGCTTCACAGGTACCTTTTAACAATTATGTAAAATGTGTTTAATGACAGACAAGTAAGCTGTAGGATCAGGAATCTTAGATGTGTGCCAGATAAACTTATGAAGTACCATTCAAGGAGGAGGGGCCAGGTTAATTGTTATGAAAAATACAACATTAAAACCTAGCAAGTAAATTGTTTAACAGTTTTTGTATTTAGGTTATAAGTAGTGATGGCAGAAGATGCCATTAAATAAACAGATAAAAATAGACTTAACAGTAAGTGGCAGTGAACTTGCAGGAATGTGTTAAGTGACTGATTACTCCGTTACAGCGTTGGCAAAAAGTGTCAAATAGAACTTCTGAGAGGCGAGAATATTAATATTCTTTCCAAGATATAACAATTCCACAGTGTGTAAACTCATCATTACTCTTTCAATGTAATTTCATAGAAACCACTTAAAATATACAATGCAGCAGATTCATATTTTAGCTAATAGGTTAGTTGTTATCCATGCCACTTTCAGTTTTCTTTAATGTACTCCCTTTTGGTAGTGTATTTCTACCACCAACTTGGGATGTTAATGAGAATAGAATTTTCTATGTAGCATTTTCTGCAAATAAACACCTTTTCTCAACATGATTACACTTCTTTATTTTTGTTCTCTGTATGTACGTACAGTAAAGACTGACTGGTGATGGAAACAGGTCATAATTGGTATTGGATCTCAGCAGGATTGTGGCAGAGGAAACTCTTGACAAAACACATCTGAGCTTAGCCTGAGTTTATTTGCCTCGTCCATCACAAGATAACTTTTGCCTCTTAGTTCACACTGAAGGGTGACCTTGCAGACAGAAGTCATACTGCTCTAGAGCAGCCAAAATTGCCCAGCAGACGTTTCAGAAGAAATGAGTGAGTTGGACACAGCAGCCTTACTCCTGAAGTGTTACTCAATGGGACTCATCCTGCCAAGGAGCTGCTTTCCTGTGCTCTGGAACAGGAGCTTATTGCTATTATCTTGTATTGGTTAGCTTCCTCTGAGCAAAAGCATGCATAAAAGGCTAAGGCCTCACTGAGAAACCCTAATACTATTGGGCTCTGTCCATTGAAGTCAATTCTGAGCTGCTCATCACCAGGAGCCCCAGGACACTTATCTTGAAGACACTGCACATGGGAGCTGCTCCCACTTCTGACCCCAGCCTACTGTCTGACATTACTAGTTGCAGTGACCAACAAGGGCAGACTTTCACAGTGCATCTCTCAACAATGCATCGCTGAGTTGACAATTTTACAAAGCTGCTTCTTCTCTTTGTTTTAGAATTCTGAAGTATTTCAACTAGAGAGTTTGAGTGTAGCCTTACTATTAATTTTATTTCTAGCCATACAAAAGGCAGATGCCTGTAGGGGCAGCTGCTTCACACAAGAACAATTAAATTCTGTGACTACAGAAACAATGCTTATACTTAATCAGAGCTCCATCTCTTTCAATTTTTTTTTTAACTGAGTGACCTTTTTTTTTAACTACACCTTTTTAGATTTCTGGTCCATAATGAAAATAAAAACCTACAAATACTCTTCCTGAACATAAAAACCATGTACTGTATCTTTTCCTTCAGAATCTAATAGAATTGTACTTTGCTGCAAGAAATAAAACTCCAGTTTACATCACCTGTCCCAACTCTTCAAATTCTTCATCCATTCTTGCTGTTTACTGACTTTTTTTACTGTATGAATTAGAAGGGCTTACCAAAAATATCTAGTTTCTGTAACTCGCCTCATGTCCACTCACATTAATTTGCCAGAATAGTAGACTCACTCCTCCCACACTGAGAAATTCAGAAGCCATTATCTAACCCAATTTTGAGCCTGTTATCTTCAGATGTGAACACGTGGCAAAGGCTCTGACTGCATCAGTGGAATGAATACCAGTGCTCTCGGGGCAGAGAGGCACTCTTCCCAAATGGCTCACTGCCTTCTCATTTCCGGTAGATAATGCCACTGTATTATGCAATGATGACTTGCTTCTGGAGAAAGAGAGAGATGAGAATCTGTAAAATCCACTTTGCAATACTGCGTGATGTATTTCATGTTTTGCAGATGCCCAGAGGACTGCGGTGTACTCCAAAAGTTATTTTGTGATAGACAACAGATAATTCTCTCTTGAAATACCCTATAGCAAGAAATCTATAGAGCCAACACAGTATAATAACTTCAAACCCACAAAACCAGGTATCTCCCCATTGCCCCAACACATGGGAACGTTGTGTTTCGTTCTGTTTTAAATGCTGCTGCGCATTAACTCAGTTTCTTAAAGAATTACTTTTAATAATAATTAAAAAAATCTTAAGAAAGCTTGAGGGATCACCAGAAGAGAAAGGATAGCTCTTCCATCCATCACCTTTTATAGATATCCTCTAGCCACTTTTCGTCATCTTCTTCCTCATCGTCTATCGGTTCCTCTGTTTCCAGGGGAGAAGGAATGAAGAACTCAGGTCTGGGACGTGGTTTCCTGGTATGAGACTTCAGTCCAAACTTGCGCTTTAGGAGGTGGAACTGTTCTTTGACATAGTAATAAAACTCATATTCGTATCTCATACGTTGGTAGAGGATCTGTATTGCTTCTGGAGAGGGGACGGTCTTTTTCACTGTCACAGTCAGATTGCCAAGTTTCCTATGTTCTGTAAAGAAAACAAACAACATGGCAGGTACTGATTAATGAGACCACATGTAAACTTTTTTCTTTCATTAACATTAAGGCATGGCCATACTGCATTATTAGTACAAATGACCTCAATCCGCCTCCTTCGTAATGTAAATATTTTTATTGATTTGAAGTTAGGCTTAGATGTTTAAATATGGCTAGTTCACACATAGCATTTGGAATTGCAGACAGAATCATCAGAGAATCACTGAATATCCTGCATTGGAAGGGACCCGCAAGGATCATGGGCTCCACATAGGACCACCCAAAATCAAACCACGTCTGAGAGCCGTGTTCAAATGCTCCTTCAACTCCAGCATTTGCGACCATGCCCACTGCCCTCAGCAGCCCATTCCATGTCCTCCACCCTCTGGTGCAGAACCCCTCCCTAGCCCCCAGCTGCCCCTCCCCTGACACAGCTCCATGCTGTTCCCTTGGGTCCTGTTGCTGTTACAGAGAGCAGCTCAGTGCTGCCCCTTCGCTCCCCTCACAAAGAGCTGCAGACTGCCATAAAGCCTCAGCTCCTCTGCTCTGGGCCAGACAAACCAAAGGACTTCAGCTGCTCCTCACACGTCCTGGTCTCCAGACCCTTCACCATCTTTGAAGGCTTTCTTTGGACACTCTCTAATAGTTTTATCCCTTCTTAAACTGTGACACCCAAACCCTCACTCAGTGCTCAAGGTGAGGCTCCTCAGCACAGAGCAGATGGGACAACTGCTTTCCTCACTCATTGGCAGTGCTAGCCCTGCTGCACCCCAGGATACAGTTGGCCCAGAGTCACAGAATCACAAAATCACAAGGTTGGAAATGACCTGCAAGATCATCCAGTCCAATCACCCTCCCATTCCTATTAGTACCACAAGCACTAAACCATATCTCGTAGCTCCTCATCCAGGCGCCTCTTGAACACTGCCAGAGACGGCGACTCCACCACCTCCCTGGGCAGCCATTGCGGTGCCTGACCACCCTTTGAGAGAAAAAGTTTCTCCTAATATCCAACTTAAACCTCCTCTGGTACAACTTCTGGCCATTTCCTCGGGTCCTACTATTTGCCTGGGAGAAGAGGCCAGACCTTTTGCACCACAACCTCCCTTCAGGAAGTAGTACAGTGCAATGAGGTCTCCCCTGAGCCTCCTCTTCTCCACACTAAACAACCCCAGCTCCCTCAGCCGCTCCTTATAAGACTTGTGCTCCAGACCCCTCACCAGTTTCATTATCCTTCTCTGGCCCACTGGGTGCCAGGACACTGATAGTCCATGTTCACCTTGCTGCTAACCAGAACTCCCTGATCTCCTCCCAGGCTGTCTTGGAGTCGCTCCCTCACCTTTCTAGTCACTGAGGATCTTAACTGGTGAAGGGATATGGAAATTGAAACATACTTCTTATTGAAAAAGCAGTTCTGAACATTGGAGGAACTCAAGAGGATTTGACTACTAAGCCTTGTAAATAAAAAACAAGAAAGCAGACTACAAAGAACATTTCATTCTTTGGACTAGACTCTGCTATGTCAAGTGGTATGGAAAAGAGGAAAGAAAATACATTGGTAGCTGCCACCATTTCAGCAACAACAGAAGTGTCAACAAAACACACCTGTAAGTCAGATTCAGCTTACCATGCCCAACCTCAGGCTCCCATGTGCACCAGGTCCAGTGTGTATTGGTTTTGGCTGGGATAGAGTTTATTTTATTAAGAGGAACTGATACAGTGCTATGTTTTTGGATTTGTGATAAAAAAGTGCTGCTAACAAACTGAGGTTTTAGTTGTTGTTGAGCAATGCTTGCCTTTAAAAAGGCAGAACTATTTACCTCAACAGGCAATACAAGACATCCACCTCGTGAACATGGCACCAATGATCTCCAGACAGGAAGAAAAGGTTACACAGGAAAAGTACAGTGAAAAGGTAGAGAACAGTTTTGTGAACATGAAATTCTTCCTCTCCATTTTAAAAGATTAATGCTCATATAGCTTAGGGTGTCTACACCTATAAACACATTCTATTTTTCAGACAATGGGCACACATTTTCCTACTTCAGAGTAGAGAAAAACTAAAGAAAAGCAACAGAAAGCTGTTCATTTAATAACTCTACAGAAGACAGCAAGTGCTGCTGGGCTGGACATTCTGCTTTTCATTTGGTTTTATTATGTGCACACATCTGGTGCAGAAGAAAAATGTTGCGTCTGAGAGAGGTATTTTTTCCTCTCATTTTCACTTACCAATTACAGCAGGGAAATTTGTAACACTGGAAGGATATGATACAAAAAGAGAATAGTTGACTAACTCACCAAACTTACTGCTGTTGTGAGTCACAAAAAATGATTTAAAACATTAATTTTATTTTGCATTTGTACTTTTAATTTATTCTCTAAAGGAAGAATGGTTTTCATTAGTTTGTAACAATTAATACATGCTGTTCCGTAATTAAATGGTGCTTTTACACCAAACTCTTTAACACTGAGATCTCTGTCTCTACTCATATACCTAAATAATTAGATAACCTACTATCTATAATTCTTAGTTCTTTAACTACATTAGTAACGTTGAGATATGCTGTATACTTACAGACTGTTCACAGATGATCGATTTATACAATTTTAGATAGAAAAGAGTAAAATCATTAAAATTTACAAAAATTAAATTAAGAATGACTTAAGAGGTGATCTTTAATATGCTGTCTAGATAAAAAAAAAGAAGTAAAAAAGAAAAGTCATGAAATATTTGCATTTAGACTGACATTAACATATAAAGCCTTACTTGCAGCTACTGGATGGGGTGAAATGTTTGGGTTTTTTTTGTGAAAACACTTGGGTTCCCTCAAGACCTTACTCTCTTCTACACTACCTATACCCATAGATTGGAAAAGACTAAAAAAAGTCTCATCTTCTAAAATTCTTAATTGTTCAAGTTGTTGTTGATGGGTATTAGGCCATTAGACCAAATTAGCCCAAATATGCTCAAGGAAGGATTGCTGTACTCAGTTTGTCCTTGGGTTAGAAGGCCAAAGCCATCTTATGATGATTTAGCACTTCAAGAAATTCCTCATTCTGGTGCTTGGTTGGCAGCTTTCACCAGCTTTGCAGTCTGGTTTTCTTTATAAACTCAGCAGCAAATATACACTACTAAATATTTCATTTATTAAGTCTAAGCCTTCACACGCTTGCCAACTGCATTTTTATTTTACATAGGTTATTTCTGTTACAGAAAACTTCTTTTACATCACTGGAAAAAGCTCTTTATTTATACGGTCCCTCCAGGACTCTAACTGGGAAAAGCCACTTCTGAAGGCCCCAGCTCCCTTTGGTGGCTGCTCCCTCCAGCAGAGAGAGGCACTTGTGTTTGGCTCAGGAGTGCTGCCAACGATGACAAGGTGAAAGGCGCTGGGCTGTTTTCCTGGGGGGTGACTGGCAAGGGCAGGACTAACCATGGGGTGGCTTTCTGGTGCTGTGCCAGGCAGTGGCCAGGTGCCACCCTTGGGGCTGGCACTGCCAGGGCAGAACAAGCAAGCAGCTTGGTGCACTCACGGGCTGAATCTGTCTGGGCTTTGCAAATGCAGTAGGCATGAAATAGAGGGTTCCCAGATATATGCAACTACATGCATGCATGCATGAGTGTATATCTATACACACAGACAGAAACGCACACACTCTGAAAGGCTACAGCAGCAACGTACATTTTTCCGCTTCTTTCGGTTTGCCTCTCACTGTAACTATCAGCAACTGCAGTGCTGCAAAACACTGCTTGTCAGAAGGGACTGTGCCTGGCCTCAGGCTCAGCATTTTGATCAAACAAGCCAACTTTACTGGTTTGTTTTTTTTTTTTTTTTTGGTTTTTTTTTTTTAACACTTTTAGATTGCTTTCTAATCTTAAATACTCTTGAAAATTTCTTCAGTACAAATATGAATGAAATCACAGAACTGCCCCTTGAAATTGCCTTAACACCTCTCCTCATCGTGTAAGCAAGATGGAAACATTATGCAGATTTGGCTTAAATCCAAAATAACAATCTGCATATGCTACATAAACCGAGCTGTCCCAGCAAAGGACCCCACTTTATGACCTTTGCTAACCAGATGGAGGGCAGCAAACAACACCATTTACTTTTTAGGGTTATTTCTTTTTAAACTGTAGTGTGGTTTTTTTGGCATTCCTTTGAATTACTAAAAAGAATTCACCACACAGTAACTGAACCTCCCAGCACAGCCTGCTCAAGCCTTGAATTAGCACAGTGGAGACTAAACTGATATGCAGATATGGATGAAGAAAATTAAATTCTTCTGGGTTACCAGGTGATGAACATTTACTGCTACTTTCTCAGCTCTCACTTTTTTTTTCTCTTTGAATTTACAAACCTGTGTTATTCACTGCAGTAATCCAAGCCATAGGAAAAGAAAGATTTTTTTTTTTTTTTTTTTAACATTTTGTGGCTTGAAAAACCTTGGATTGCCATATTTAGACAAAACGATCCTAAAGATTGCCTCAAAAGAGAGTCTCTGAGCTATGCCTCCTCCCATACCATGATACAGAGGTGCTCTGAGCTGTGGGTGAGTGCAGTAGTGCTCGCCCACCCAAAGTCAGGGGCGGAAAGCCCTGCCCCAAGCCCTGCTGCTTGAGGGCCGTGTGAACACGATGGCTGTCAAAGATAGAGTAAGCTCATTTCCTGCAGACAGGCAGGCAGGGAGGCCCCACATCTCAGCTGCACTCTGTTGAGCTGCAGTGCATACCTATTGCTCCATGGATGTCAATGGAAATGAAGGTGCGTCGCTGCAGTTAGATGTGAGGTACAGACCTCTCAGGGCCTCTGCTTGACACGCCACTCAAGGGATCGGTGAGGTGCTAAAATGGGACTCTGATGTGTGTGCTAGAAATGATATCCCCTCAAATCATTTAACTGCAGCTCAGCAAAAAAAATTCAGGCCCAGTTCACTGGTTTCTCAAACTTTTCAGCTGGACTCCTGAAGTACATCAGGGAAAGGACATCT